GTACTTACGTCGCTTCGCCTTTTCGTCTCCGCTTCTTCCCGCAACCCCCCCCCCCTCCCTCGCTTCCTATCATTTGTATCCTCTGACACTTGTCCTCTGACTTCAGACCTGCCTTCTCTCTCTTTTCCTACCAAACTCTCCCATCATCATCACCATCAACAAGAACAACAACAACAACATCATCATCAACAACATCACCTCCCTGCTTCCCTGCCACCGAGTTGACAATTATCTGGAGCACATTTTTCACATTTTCTATCTCTCTATTCTGCTCTGTTTGCTATTCCTTTGAATTCCTCTCTCCTCTTTTTGACCATTTTGTCATGAGATCCTGTTCAAAATTTTGTTGCTGTCTAGGATTCTATTGCGCACTTTTGCTTCGAAGCACGGTCCCATTTTCCAACATTGAGTTTATACATTTTCTCCCCATCATAACTTATTTTCCTTACAATCCCACATTTTCAATTCTGCTTTGAGATGTTGTGAAAATGTTGTCGCCTCGTTTACTGACCCTTCGCTTCCAGATCCGCTCAAGTAGAATACATACACCCGTAACAGAACCGAACGAGAGAGCATGTCTTATCAACGATACGAGCTTGAATTTCCGGACGACGACAGCATCCCGTCGGACATACAACGCCTGAAGATAGACTATATGAACTGCGGGAACGAGGAGGTCGGGGTTGCATACTGCCTCGCTCTGTTAAGGGCAGGAGAAGTCGACTACCAGGTGTGGGAGCAACTCACTGCTCTCTTCGAAGATTTTGTGTTTCAGCGAGAGGTGCTGGAGCAGAGCAATGTGAGCGAAGCGCTGAAGCCCTGGCTCTCGAAGCTGCGAAGCATGGCTCAAAAGTGCTGCCGACAGGAGTGCGTGGAGATCCTCAGCACTGTGAAGTCCATACTGGACAGCATGAAGCCGAAGCTGGCGGAGAATTCAAGATTCCTTCCGGTGAACATTCAAATGTGGTTGTCTCTGGTTGAATCTGACTCTCTTCTCTCCTTCAGGAGCGTCCATCTCAAAGCAGAGGCTACAAGCGCAAACGCCTTAACGGCCCGCATGCCCCCCAAAAGAAATCCAAGAGGCCGCCCCTGAACCCCAACACGCACGATCAGGACCTGTCGGACGTGAGCCAAGAGTCGACGGAGGAGCAAACAAGCACGATGCAGGAGATCGCCCGTCGGGGTCAGAAGCGATGGGCGGAGAAGCTCAAGAAGCTCAAGGAGCGCTGGGCCAAGCTGCAGGTGGTTTCCGCCAACCCCACCTTCGACAAGCAGATCAGCTACTGCAAGGCGATGAAGCTGAAGAAGCAGAAGGAAGCGCTCCTCCTCTATTTTCAGATGTCCGCCAAGGAACAGCTCATCGTGCCCCTGGACTTTCTCGAGACCGACTCGGACTGCGAGGATGTTTCCAACGAGAGGAGGTTCGAGGCCGTTGGAGGACGAGACAGCAAGTCGTTCGTGGGATGGGTTGGTTTCCAGATCCTCCCAGCGCAAGCCAACAAGTTTCTCAAGGGGCTCGAGCTCCTGCTGCAGCAGGCGGAGTGGACCCAGGAGGACTTTGAGCAGATCAGGGAGAGGAGCCAGAGCTGCCCCGACAGCTTCCTCTCCTCCAACTCCTTCCACAATGTCTTCCGGAGGATCGGGTTTGCGCCTGCGGAGGCCGGGAGATGGATGGAGGCGTTCATGGGCTCGATTCCAATCATTCATCATTCAGTGTCCAAGTCCCAGGAGACCAAGAACATCTGCTCGTGAGGAGGAGGAGAATGCTGCTGGACGTCTTGAGATGTTATACTACACCAAAGGG